TGAGATCTTTCACAAATTGCAGAGATGGTGACTGCTGAATTTATTTAAATGACAATCACAACATTCACACATTTGTGCCCCAGGCTTGCAAACCATTGGCATGTTCTCTCCTAAAGCATTAGTGTTAATGGTTTAATTACTATTGATATTTTTCCCTTTCCCGTCTCATTTTTTTTTTGTTCTAATTATCAGAATTGTCGTGAAGAACCTGTCTACCATAGTAGCTTAGTTTCCCCCCTCCTTTTTTCTTAACCTCTCTTGAAGCCTTTTCTCTTGCCCTTTGATTTGCAAGCCAGAAGGCAATCTCTCTAATCACAAAACAAAACCACCAAGGCATTTTCTGAGAGTTTTACACTTCAATAAGTAATTTGCAAAGGTGAAGGAAAGACTTCTTTAGGAGAAAAAATGTGAAATAGATCGAGAGATCAATGTAAAGCGCAAGGGGTGAGGCTTGCTGCTTCTTCAGCGGTCACCAGCAGATGTGGAGAGTGACTACCAGGTAGAACGTCTTCACCCCACTGGTGTTGAATCAGACCCCAAACCCTTTTGCAAATCTTAGGTCTTGCAAACTGCACATTAGTTCCATCATTGCTACAAACCCGGAAAGAAAACAGATGTTTTCATAGGTAGGGCTTTGCTAGAAGGGTTATAGCAGCATCTGGCTCCAGATGCTAAAAGTCACAGCTGATTCCCAAACTGTCTGATGAGGACCACCTCTGCCAGACATCGCATCATGAACATTTTCCCCTGCAACCCCTTCTCCTCCAGATTGTTTGAACCCAAAAGTCTCTGACCTGTGCCCTGGCTCTACCCTCACACATGATACTTTGATGTTACTTTGATGTTACTTCCAAGAGGGGAAACTAGATGTCTTCCTGCTGTCCCCTGGACCCCGGCTGGGTCTGAAGATAATCCTTGCTTAGGACTTGGCTTTCCAACAACAACAACAAGTTAGGATAAAAGGAAGACAGACAAAACAGCAAATCTGCAAGTATCAGCTTAACCCTATAATTTGAACGTGCCCCCCTCCTCCATACCAAACTCTGGGTAATTTGACCAGGAGTATCTCCTGTCCCTTTGACATGCTATGGTGAGCAGTGGGACCAGATGTCCCCCCCTGACAGCCTACTGGACCAATGCAGTGAGCAGCCCCAGATCAAAGAGGTCAGGCTTTTTGAGAGGCTATGTAAGAGATCTAGACACATGGTAACATTGAAATTGGTAGAAAAATGGATATTGGTGCCCTCTAGAAGGCTTTCTGGCTATTTTTCCACTAAGTGTATGTAGTCCTTCATCCTCTCCTTTCCCACCAAGTGGCACAGCACCCCTGGCTGAAACTCCGTAATTGGTTACTGGAGAAAGAAACCAGCTGCCTTGCTGCGGCATTTTACAATATCCCGAACTCATCCTCATTTCCTTTCATTATGACTCTACCTGTTACGTTCTTGGCAGATAAAGGAACAGATGCATTAATTAGAGAGCAGAGAGCACTCCCGCCCGAGTCTCCCTCCCCTCGCAACCTTCGTGACCTCGTGGAGATTTCACTAAAAATATGTAATTAGGTTCTGCAAAGTAACTTCCTGACCACTGGGATCCGTACGTGCTCACTTCGACTGCAGAAGCCCTACATGGTGTGTGCTTTCCAGAGATGATTCCAACACCACTCGATTTTTCTAGCATTTGTTTACGAAGTTGTATTTACCTGTACTTCAGCATGTCAAAGCCAAGTTCACATCAAAAAAAAAATCTTAAAGCTTATAGACGATGCCACTTGCTGGCCTGGATTTGACACATTCAGGAAAACTTGTTAGAGAAAATAGCTATAGAAAGGCAGTGTTAAAGAGGCTATGTTTGCACATTAGCTTGTGAATGTTTGTCTGCCTGTCATTGCACTGGTTTGCCAGCATGCATAAAGAAATCTGGTCCTTGCAGGGGTTGATTTAAATGTGATCTGAAGTGCTCTGCTAACAAAGATGCACCAACTCTCATTCTTAGCTGAATCTTTGCCAAAGTGCTTTTCAGATAAAGCACAAATTAACATAACGTCTCTTGCAAGCTTGAAGTATTTTCTTTCTCTCCCGTCCTTCCCCTTTCTTCAAGTGAGGTCTGTTGGTCCAGTTGTGGGCTTTTTATTTTAACCATCATCATTGTCATGGTGGAGGTGAGTTGTCAAGTTGTACCTCAAAAGCATTTGGACTCAAAATCAGTTTGGTTGTTTAGGATGTTTACTGCAAACAAGAATACCTCTAAGACAAATACTTCCTCCTACCCCAGGGTGGGCTCCAGCCTGGGCTTCCAAAGCTGCCTGGTGCCCAAGCAGCCTTGCTCTCCAGGGTTGATAGGGGGTGAAGCTGGAGTCACCAGTGACATGTCTTGCTCTGAGCATAGCTTTGGCGATCAGAGCTCAGGGTCTGACCTGGCAGTGAAAGCAGCCTGGGAGACAGTTCAGGCACCAAAGTCATTCCTGCAGGGTAGGAAAACATGTCTTGACTTTTCAAGATAGACCTCTACGTATGGCAAGCTCTCCTAACCTGACACATCCTTGTGACAAACACGAGGATCAGGAGGGCCTGATCCCACTCTAGGGAAAAACAAAAAAGCAAGCAAGCGAGCAAGCATTTTATGGTGACCTGTTTTTTCCTATCGCCAGCATTCGGGGATTGTTTGTGCACTTACAGTAGTTCCAAGAGGGGCCACGAGCCCCAGGCAGGCAGTGCTTTTCTTGGAAAGCAGTGCTTCTAAAATGAGAAACAGACAAGAAAAATAAAGACAGGCTAAAACATACAAGCAGGGAAAGCAGGATAGGCCAGCACTGTGGTTTCTTGTTCCTTTTGTGTGGATGATCCCTGCATACATGTCTTGTGTCTTGCCTTAACTCCGTTTGCACTTCCACCCAACCTGGAGCCTTCAAAGCCTTATGGTACCAGCGAGCCACAGGCTCACAGTACACAATCCTTTATGTTGATACAAAAAAGCCAGACACTAATAAATACATACAGCTACCTAGAATATTTCATTATCAGCTTTCGTTTTTCAACTCCTATATAGGAGAAGAGCTAACCTGCTGAATCTTAAACAACGTACTAAAGTACCACATTTCTAGCAGGAATACAGGCACCTAAAATCAAGGAAGCGTGGGCAGTAGCATCAGGAGTTCTCTGCTTTTCACACTATAAGCAGATCTCTCTCTGCTTAAATAACTATCCACACAGTGTTTGTCACATTTAATTACATAATGCAAAATCCCAGATCTGTGCTTTCTATTTTCCAACACTATTTTTCTCAGGAATGCCCTAAACAGAAAAAAATGAGTATCTATACATGTATAACGTTGCTATTTTGAAAAGATCCACTGCAAGTGGCAGGATCCAAAGCCAGTGTGCATCTTACAGTGTTTATAGGAAACTTTTCCTCTTGTATTTTAGCATCTATGAGATGAATCCTATGTCACTGGTACCTGTACCACCAGCCAACTGCTCAGCAGGTCTTGTGAGCTTGCCCTGTGGCTGCATCCATGCAGTCAAGAGAGTTTCTGCTGACTAAGGAGATGGTAGAGTGAGTTTTTTCCTGCCTGTGGACATATTTCCCAATAAAACACAGGAGGGCCTTGCTATAACATTGTCAGTTTGAAGGGTGTCTGATATACTTTTCATACTTGAGGTGTCTGCATCACACCAAGATTTTGTTGCATTTGCTCTGTCGGTTTTACAGAGGAAAAATCTCGAGGTAAGTAGAAGTAAAAGCTGGGAAAAGTGAGACATGAGATTTTAAGAGGTGAGCGAGTAGGAGTTCCTGCTCTGCCCCCGGTTCTGTTCTCGTACACCTACGTCCTCCTGAAGGTGCTGCAGGGAAATAGGGGCACAGCTGTGACCGCAGCGACTGCACATATAGCTGCGCGTGGTGCCAACAGCTACTAATTTGGGGGAGGGCTCGGTGCTCATTTAAGACCTGGCATGCCATGCAGCCCATTTAAGATCCACGCTTTTCAGGCACGCTCTTGGAAGATCCAGGCACAAGAACGAGGAGGTGGTTTGAAATTACTACATATGTCTTCTTGATATATTTACACTCCAGGGACCACCCACATCACAGAATGTGTTTGAATTGTTCCCCAAGCTTTCTTCTGGAGTTGAGGCTAAATTACAGATTCCCTTTTCCCAGAACACAAGAAAAATTAGCAACTTTCTGAATGATTATTGTTATTACAGAGGTATTTTTTTTTAAATAGGTCCCATTCTTGAAGACCTTTCAAGCAGCGGGGGAAATCTTTGCACCTCTTCAGCTCCTTTAACTGCTGGTTACTTAATCTTAGCTTGTAAAAAAAAATGCATGGAGGTAAAGACAAACTGCTCTTTTTTGAAAGCCAGTTGAAATAACTTGAGGAAAGGATATGGGAAGGGAAGATGAAATCCCCTTTAGAAAAGATGCATTATTTTCTATGTTTGGATGACAGTGAACTCCTTGTGCATACTCCTGTGCACTGAGACAATATATTTTAGTTTTAATTGTTTCAGTCAATGTCAATTTTACATCAAACAGGCAATAAAGTAAAAATGGCCTTTGGGGAAACATCAGTGAATCTTATTTTGTGCTGCAGTACTGCCAGTGTAAATATCTAGCTCTGTTTTGTAAGCTCAAAGCCAAATGGAGCAAAATTTTCCTTTCAGAGAGACTACTGACCTGTCAGCATCAAAAATATTATTTTTAGCATACAAAAATTGTTTGTCAGTGATTGTAATAACAATAATCTTTGCAAAATCCATTATTACTCCAGTAAACATTTTCCCTTAGGCACTAATAGCAGGAAACAAATTAAGAAGTTGGTTGATAACAATTGGATAAGAAAAAAAAAAAAAAAAAAAATAAAGACATTGTCACTTCTACAGAGTTCCTGGCATAAAATATATTTCTTTCTATTTATTTTTTTTTACAGTAGCTCAGGGATCTGAAACATTTTGGTAAATCATAATTATTAACTCATTCTGCTGTTTGCTTTCCAGAATGCTAGAAGATGACCTCAAGTTAAGCAGCGACGAAGAAGAGAACGACCAGGTAAGAACCAGACAACAACCGTGTAACTTGTAGCATGTTTCATGTCGAGACAGAGCTACTGCAAACATTTTGCTAATGCTTTTTCAAAATATACATCAAGGTTATCAAAATACATGAAAGTACTGTAAATGGAGTAACAGATGTTCTTGCTCTGCGCCAGACTGCATGTGCTAACTGCTGTATTTGTGGGGAATGTTCTGCAGGGGTCTTGATTTATTACCTTGATGCAACCCAGAAGGTTTTTGTATCAGTCTCCTCCTGATTGGATTTTGTTTTGTTTTAAAGAGCAGCCAAGGAGGGGAGAAACAGGAATTCGGATTAAGGCTTCAGGCCAAGTCCTTCAAGCATGACCTGGGCCTGAGGGACCAGTCCCTGGGCTGTTGACCTGCCTAGAGCCTTGGATGGGCGCTTGGATCCCTCCATTACAGAGCCATTAGGGCATTTGCTTGGGCTTTAAAGACCCCAAAACACCTGCCTGGGAGCAGATTCTTCACCCAAGGTTTTCTATGGGCCAGGAGAGATTGTTTTTGTCAGGGTAGAGGTCTTCTCTCCTTGAAGCACTGCCATGTTTTGTCCAAATTATTCTGTAATCACTGGAATAGGGCTGGATCTTGGTTTTCCCATGGCTGGCTGAGTCCCTAGTTTCAAAGCTGTACTATCACAAGCTCTCTCTCAGTATACATGTACTGGTGTAGATTTGGTGGGGGTGATAGGGCAAGATCCACTTCCCTTTCTCCTTGCATTAAAATGCACATCCAATGCCTTTGCCAGAGTACGTGAGGGAGGCACTGCCCCTGGTTGCCTCAGGTGTCTCCAGACCAGGATATAACATGGTTTCAAATGTGATTATTTCAGTCAGGGGTAACTGGAGCTATCTAGACTTCTGAAATTCAGGGCCTTAGGCAAATAACTCTAAGTATGCAAACCTGAAAATCTTCCAGGTTTTTCTTTAGCTCTCATTATTAGAAGTCTATATTTTACAATACATTCCAAGCAACAGGTAAGTCAAAGCCTTTTCATATTTATATTAAACCATTATTTCATCTATTTTGAGCAAAGCTTCTTTGTGCTGAGAAGATTCAGCACATGAATTCAATTATTTACATATTTATACAATTTCCTTTTTGTTTAATGCATTTCATCCCGAAACACTTCACATTTAATTACTCTTCCTGCTTGTCTAGATAGTTTAAAATACATCACACAGACAGCGTAGGGCAAAGTCCAGTGAGGGACAAGAAGGGATGTCTGAAGAATACCAAGGGCACGCAGCAACACCGTGGTGCAGGCAGGGGAAAGGAGTGGTGGGGAAGGGGAGAGGCAGCAATGGGGAGGCACAGATTGTCCTTTGGATAGGGAGCAAGGTGGGATCGTGCCTAAAGGCGAGCAATGTGGAGCTGGTAGAGCTCATGCTTGGGTGGCTTCTCACTGTGTGTGCTTTGCCAGGTCTTCACTCAGTGACCAGAGCTTCAAGGCACAGCTGGTCCAGCCAGGGCTTTCTCCTCCATGCTCCCACCCACAAGACCCCAGAACCAAGAATCACAGAATCACAGAATTTCTAGGTTGGAAGAGACCTCAAGATCATCGAGTCCAACCTCTGACCTAACACTAACAGTTCCCACTAAACCATATCCCTAAGCTCTACATCTAAACATCTTTTAAAGACTTCCAGGGATGGGGACTCCACCACTTCCCTGGGCAGCCTGTTCCAAGGCAGCATTTGCCACCAGCGTGGCAAGGAGCAAAGCCAAGGTCCCATTGCTCAGCACCAGTCATCATGTCAGCAGCCTTCAGCAATTACCTAGTGGTTTGGTCCCCCCTCTCTAAAATGGATTAATGATTTTTTTTTTTTTCCAAAGTTGGCTGTACAGATAAAAAGCTCCTAGGGGCACAGGCTGCCTCAGGCCCTACAAAATGCTTTGCAGAACCTCACTTGAAACCTGCAAGTTTGCTTAAGGAGCAAACCTAAATATGATTGTGCCTGTTGGCTAAACAAAAGACCATGTTTTCATCTACCTAGCAGGAAATAGGCCCCAAAAAGAATGACACAGACCCCTCCCTGCCAAACACATTCACAGATTATTACACGGATACGTACCTAAATGTCAGAGGAAGAACCCATTTTTTTTTTTCACTTTTTAATTCTGCGGCTCTTTAATCTCAGACTGCTTCCTGAACTCAGGAGCAAGAAAGTAGGAAATCAAAGATGAAGGGATAGGAACAGTACATGAGTGATTCCTAGACACTCCTTACTGAATTAATTGGCATTTCAGCAATTGTACTCATTTAAGTAGTCCAGTTTCTTAAATAGCTGAAGGTGAGCAGTGCAAGAGCTTGGATGCTTTTCTTGTTTGCTAATTCCTATATGGAAATTTTGGGGGAAAAGATGTGGAAAACTCAGAAGGTGATTTTGTGTGTGCATTTGAAATCACCAGGCAGAAATGGAAAGTTCCTGTGGCGGTGCAGATGGGGACAGGTGCTGCAGCAGCCCTGTGGCTGGTATTTGGGCTGTGCCCGACCCACAGAATGTGAGCAATGGGCAAGGGAGGCCAAATGCGAGACAGACGCCTGATTGAGAGCCTCGGGATCCCAAACGCTCCCTCCGTGCCAGCAATTAAGGTAGCAAGATTCACAGACCCAGGAGAGGCAAAAGAGGCTGGGTTTAAGCTGAGCGTGTGTGTGCCCACAGTAATTACATTATCCACACATATTAGTCTCTTAATTTTAATTACATAAATGTATTTTTCCTCTTTAATGAGCATAGTTTATCCATTTAAACTGATCGTTTTAATTTTACAGGCAGTGATCTTAGGATCTAATATGCAGAGGGAAAATTTCCTGTTGGCATATTTTACATCACACAGATTGAAGAAAATATATTTTTTAATCCCCAATCAATATCTGAAGAGCAAGCAATTAACAGATACCAAGGTAGTTAACATAAATCTGCAAGTTAAAGAGCCAATTCATTTTGATTTATAACACATAAGGTAATAATTTCATCATCATCTCTCCCAGAAAGCATCTGAAGCTTTGTAGCATGAAGATGTCAAAATTGTACTTAAGATTGTTCAGAGTACTGAATTGTAGTGGTTATTGCCTTTTGGTTCCTTGAAGTGTGGCACAGCACATGAAACTGCCCCCATTATAATACCCTGCTCTTCTCTGTAGAGGTCACTGGATAACTTAAATCAGTCTTGGGTGAAATATTGAAAGGAGATTGTCAATTGTAACATGAACAATTCTCTTTTTTCCCCCTACTTGTCCTTTTACAATATGAAAATTTTGCAATAGCAAGTAGTTCCTTTAAGGGGAAAAAGATCCCTGGATCCATTTGTGTAATTCATGTCAATCAATAGACAAAAAAAATTAACTGACTGGTACACATACATGGAATAATAATCTAACATATTTTTGCAGCCCCAGTCTGCTTCCTTGCATGCATTTTTTCTGTGCAGGATCAGGTTGGTTGCCACTGAAGTTTTGTGGCTGTGAAAATTTATTACCCACAGAGTCAATCTGCGTTCTGGCTGCCAAGTCTGAATAAATAGAGTCATTGTGCTTGTCTGGAATATGTAACCAAAGTTCATCCAGTCAGCTTGACTTTCACATCCCATGAGATTCATAAAAGCCAACACCCTGGTATGTGCTCTTGATTCCTGCCAAAATTTTGTAAAATTGTATAAACAGAAGTTGAAGAAGCAATCAGAACACCCTCCCAGGGACGCAGCTCCAAACTCAAGCCCCTGCTGCATCTCAAAAGGCAAGACAGAGCCTTAGTCCTTCTTCATTTTTAAATATCCCATAGCTGCAGCAGGTAAAGAGGTTGGCTGAGGCACATAGGGCACAGGGTTTTGTTCGCACCCTGCACAAAAGAAAGAGAGAAGGCAGCATCTGCCAGGGAGCTGCTGCCCTCCTGCTGAAGGGACAGGGAGGAGGACAGACATCCCTGCAGGATCCCAGGCAGCGTGAGCTCACCCTCTGCAGGGTGGCCAAAGCCAACTGTGGGGGACCTCAAGGGAAGAGCAGCCTCAAGGAAGTTCACAAGGAACCACTTTGGTGCAGGGAAATAAAAGTCTCAGGAGCATGTTCTAACCCACAACCCTAGAGAACAAGGCATCCCACCCAACCCTGGGGCTCCTGGGGCTGTTCCCCATCAGTCACAGCCTGGGAACAGCCAGGCTGCTGGTGCAGGGGGCACATTCATGCTCCTCTAGTGCTCCAGCAGTGGCTGAAATGGAGATCTCAATACTGATTCAAGTTGTACCCACAGCTCCAGTGGGGACACCCATGCCTGTGCTTCCTCCCCATCACATATGTGCTGAGGGATCAGTGTGAGAAATGCATGTTTCTGGCAGGGCTGTCTGCCAGGCAAATCCACTCTGTTGATGCAACAGGGCAAAAGTCCATCCCCATGGTCAGTGGCAGTCAGCATGGCCCTGTTCCTATGTAAGTAGCATTGGGAAATGACTTTTTAAGTCCTAAAATTGTGCTTCAATGGTAGCCAGAAACAACTGAGAAGAATGTATTTAAGGACAATCTCTTTAATCAGGTGCTTTTCCTTCTTATTGCTGGATACGGACCAACAGTCAACAAAAAGTTACAAATTACCCTGAAACAGTCATGCATACACCTTCTTCCAGAAGGACTAATTTTTAGCAGAGTCCAGATAAGCACTACTTCTGCATATGAAATCTAATATTCCAGCTAATGCGCAGGAATCTGCAATGAATTCTGAAACAAATTAAAAAAGAGGCAAAGTGACTGCAAGCTTTCTTTCCATCAGACCTCCCCTGTTACGACAGCTCTTTCTGATGTCAAAGATCAGCCAAGCGAAGAGCAGAGCCAGGTACATCCAGAGAGAGCAGCTAGATTAGCCAAATTATAGGATGCTGTTGCATAGCCCTGTTCATCATTAGAACTATTTTTAGTCAGTGCTAATTGCATGCACATATGCCGTGTCCAAATATTTTAAACACATTAAGTCATTTTAGTGTTGT